TATATGTAACGTTAATCAGATTTTTAATGAATAATTGGAGTCCAGAATAAAATATAATTGAAATCCCGATGACAGGTTTTCTTCCCTTAATGGCATACATGTAATATTCACAAAGAATATGTTACTTAAGACTAAAACATAAATCTACTTGATAAAATTATGCTTTAATTTTTTAATTACAATTTTCAGAGTTTCGATCAATCCACCAAAAGTGCTTCAGCATGTCAAAAATTTCAGTGGGATCTTATCTACGTTTACCTAGTTATTAGAAAAAATCATTCAAATTAATTAATCAGACAAACTTCTGCCCATGCCTATATTTATATATGCATCATTTTTTTTGATTTTACATAAGATTTGTTTTTGCATTACGATTGAATTTAATTATAATTGATTTGGAACAGCTAGAGCAGCAGTTGAATGTATAATTACTCCAGTAATTTATAAAAAGACAAATCTTTTAAAAGCAATAAAGAACAATGCATATGACCACAAAAAAATTTTTAACCTTCAATTTTACTTGTTTCACCTAAAAGGTATGACACCTCTCCTTCTGAGAGTAGGTTATGCCTAATTGCGGTTCCAAGCATTTGTTTGAGATCTTCGTTATGATTGAGCTGAAGATTATTAAGTAGTGTCTTTGAGTAATCCATGATCTCTTTAGGGCTCATAGCACCCTAAATAAATATATCATAAAGGTTAGCATAGTGAAAAGGCTTAGAAATCAACCAACCAACAATATAAATACATGTACTTTGAGAGTTTTTTTAATTGATTCATGAATAGCTTCTTTGATGTCTCTTGGTATCTTATCATACTTTTCATCATTGATTTGATCTATAAGAGGGAAAATTTGTCGATGGATGTCGATATTCTTTTGAATAAGATCATTAACTGTTCCCAAATAAGTTTGTATAATATCTTTCCCATTTTGTTGTTTTGTTTGTTGTATTTGCATTATTAATTCTGAAATTTTGTGGTGATGCTCCATCATCGCTTTTCCTTTTTCTAATTCATGCTTATTCTTTGCAGCTTCAATCTCTCGCTTACGAACTTCATCTCTGAGTTCATTCTTTTTCTTTTCATAGGCTTGTTCCAACTCTGCTTTCAATTTTTCGAATTCTAATTCCTTTTGCTTATGCTCCATTTCTCGTCTGTGATTTTCATCATTGACATCCATTCTCCTCTGCTCAGCTTTAATAGAATTACCCATGACTTGGAATAACAATGAATTATTTTCTATTAATAATCCGTGATTTGGGTTAGAAATAAAATTAAAAATGCAACCACTATTGAATAAACTTAATAAAAATTGGGACGATACATAAAAGAGAAGTGAAGATTAACGAACAAAAATATTTTCATATTATATAGATATCAATCAGATTGCGACTAGCTATTTTTCTTTTTCTTAAATCCGCCAATAATTTTAATTCTAAGATAACATATTGCTAAAATAAAGAAAAATAGTTTGTACAGAAGGTCCGGTAATCATTACTATTACAAGGTAGTATTCTAATATGAAATTACTTATTTCCGAAATAAGTGAGAGTTTAAAAAATTCGTACATTTATTTCTATATTGATCAACTTATTGTATTAATTATATTTTCAATAATATAAACGGTATTTATATATTAAATATAGGGAATCTACATATGAGGGACAAAACGAAAATATTTACATATATGAGGCTCAAATTTTGAAAATTTTATAATTAAAAACCAATAACTCCGCGTTATGATGATAATGATTATTTGAAAATTATCACTGTATACGTTTACTTTTTTACATTTTATACTATTTCCTTTCGCTTTGTGAAACTTCTTTAAGATATAGTTCTATTAGATTAAGCACGATCCAGTCATACAACTCCTACGATTGTCACATGTTGAAATGGGACATTTTATGTGCTATTGAAAATTGTGACTAAAGCGAGCAAGAATTTATATATAGTGCATGTGATTAGATAAAAAACTAAGATGACTATAGCGAAACTGTGACAAATACGGGTGTGACTACTGTGAGTGTTGACTGTACTAGGTTTAGCAAGATCTTTTCAATATTTTAATGTTCATTCTGTTTTAAACTAACAGGTTTATCTTACACCAAAATTAGTTATTGTTACAGTTATTTAATTTAAATCTTAAAAACTTTGCCCGCAATCTAATTAACTTGATTATAAAAATTTCAAAATTAACACCCTATACAAGAGTATTTTCATTTTGGGCCTTTATTCGTAATTATTTTCGTTTTTCACAACCTTAGATGTAAATTCCCATTAAGTATATCAAAAGGTTTCTTTTAGCTGATCTCCAAAATCGATAATTATGCGTGAACAGGTACGTACGTACGTACGTGCGTGCGTGCGTACATGAGTGGTTTAGTCATATTACAAAAAATTGTCGATCTTGATGCTAAAACCAATTTGATTATTAAAATAGGAAGTTGTGCAACGTAATTGTACTAAAAACAGGAACAATGAGCCAGAACAGTATCAGGATGCAGGAGGATTGTCCGCACATGTGATAATTGACCAATGATTAAATTGCGATCAAGCGTAATGTAACACGATCAGGAATAACGTAAAAAAAATTGTTCGTTCTTAAAATTGTTCATATCTCAAAAACTTACATAACAAACAGACTTTTGTGCTCTAACAAATTTTTTTTCTTGTCAAATTTTACTTTATAATTTCATTTCATTCTTAATAATCCAAATGCTTATTGCAAGTTTAATGAGGTGCATTGATAATGACGTGTGCGGACAAATCCCCCTACACGCTGTGTCTTTCATGAGCCAGCAGATTATATATGAATTAATTTTAATAGCCCGAATATAGTCCGAATGACTTGGTGATTATCAAGACTGACAATTTTTTGTAACTTTGCTAACCTACCCTGAGAAAATCCATGAGGAAAAACATGATCTGCGCCAACGAATCCGAAAGTTGAAAGTCTTACCGAAGTCGAAAATCCTACCAAAAGTCGAACATCTCACCGAAAGTCTTACCGAAAGTCGAAAGTCTTACCGACAGTCGAAACTCTTGCCGAAAGTCGAAAGTACCGAAAGTCGAAAGTCTTACCGAAATTCGAAACTCTTACCGAAAGACTTACCGAAATTTAAAAGTTTTACCGAAAGTCGAATGTCTTACCAAAAGTCTTGTCAAAAGTCTTACCAAAAGTCAAAATCATGGTTTTACCGGGTAAAAGTCATCTGACACTGACATGTGATTTCAATCATGTTACATGACACAACCTTTGACAAAAGCCATCCTTTCTGACTAATACGTATTACGTTGTTGTGTTACATTGGGGTGTGCTGTGGCCTATGTAAATCAAAACTATGTGTGGTATCAAATAAAAATTAACGTTAAATATTGGAGATTTTTTATAATACGTATGTGCAATTTGTTGATCGGAATTATCTATCACTTTTTGTATATGTATTTTAATAGTAAAGAATGACTTTAATGTTTTT